ATATTAATCATCAAAGAAAGGTAATATATATATATATACATATATATATTATTGTAGACTGTATATAGTAACTATATATATATATATATATATATATATATATATATTATATATATATATTGTTTCATTATTATACACGCTTTGACCACTAGCGTACGCTATATATATTTCACAGTGCTTTGAATGTGCCCTTTGCAACATTAAATTTTAACTTTCTATGTTCAACCATATCGAATTTTAATTATTGTTTATTTATCTTGTAGACTTTGGAGTCAATCTTGAAGGTACGTTGTCACCGACAATTATTACAATTTACACAGAAATTATATGTATTATACATAGACCTATATATATCCCTGGTTCTTGATTTGTTGCGAGAGCCAAATGGAATTTAGAGTTAATCTCAAAGACCAGAGAGAAAGTGTTCAAGTTGTGAGCAACTCGTTTTGCTTATGGCTGGGTTGGAAACCCCGGGGCTACAGTAAGCGAGGTACTTTATTTCGATACTAGCTGCGACTCGTAGAGTACCCTTTAGCGTTCATCAGACCCACTTTATGAGGATGTAAATAAGCTGTTTGGAAAAGTGTCCTTGCTTGATTGGATTAAAACTGCGACATTCCATAATATGCTAACCAAGAGGTTAGCATAATAAGTTAAGCACTAACCATTTATCTCAATTTTGCAACTTAAATTTGTCCTAAATATTAGTTTGCTATTATAATCGCATAGGTGTCCTCGGGTGGGACTCGAACCCACGATCTCCAGATCACTAGCCTGGCATCATACCTCTAGACCACCGAGATTGCGCCTGATGTCCAGGGTTGAATTCGAGTCCAAGTAAGCAGCGGGTACTGCAATGACGTAGTAATTGTTATTGTCGTGATGGAATAGACAATAACTGGATTTGATAGGTGTAATTTTGCCCTACCTGACGTGGAAATGTACTGAATACTCAGTAGTGTGAAAACAATTGCAAAAAAATCGTTCTCAGGTGAGAACCCACGATCTCCAGATCACTAGCCTGGAATCTTATCACTAGACCACCGAATGGAGGTTACATTTGGCCAGGTACATTTGGATTATCATACTAGCAGCGACTCCTAGAGTAGGCCTACCGTTTAGCTTACCTCATACTCACTTTATGAGGATGTATAGAAGCTGTTTGGAAAAGTGTTCTTGCTTGATTGGATTAAACCTGCAATATTATATATCCCTGGTTCTCAATTTGTTGAGAGAGACTTATACATTTTAGAGTTTATCTCACAGGCCACGTGGAAATGTACTGAGTATTCAGTACATTTCCACGTCAGGTAGGGCAAAATTACACCTATACTTCGTGATTCTCCTGACGCAAATCCAGTTATTGTCTATTCCATCACGAAAATAACAATTATTATTGTTATCGTATTTATCGTATTACATCATTTTCTAAATTGTATACATATGATTTTAAAATACACAATTTATTATTGTTATTTTATTTTTAATTTTTAAGCAAACGAAGTAAACTTTGATGGTAAGTTTTTTTCTATTTACATACAAAAGTACATATATATAATATATACATATATATATACATATATATACATATATGTAAATATATATATATATATATATATATTGTGGATTGTACATAGTAACTATATATATATATATATATATATATATATATATATTTATATATGCCTTTTAATCAATTTGTATATAAAAATATCTCATTCGAAATCCAGTAAGCTAAAAATAATCATCTTATATATCTCTAACTATTGGTCACGTGCGATATTAGTGCAATCAAAAATCGTGACGTCAAACAAGTTAAAAAATGAAAAGAACTCAGATTCTACCGAACGCTTGAATCACCACTGTGCCTTCGTCGTCAAGTGGTTATGAGGTTTGCCATGAATACGAAGGGTCCCGAGTTCGAGGCTCGGTGGAGGCTGGGTTTTTCTTTATTTGTCAGGTTAAACCTGCGACATACCGTGATAATAAAGAGGTAATCCAAGCACTAACCACTTTCAGTATTTCAATTTTGCAACTTAAATTAATCCTAAATATTACCCTGCCATTATATACGTGTTTATCGTATTATGTGATTTTCTAAATATCATACATATGATATATTTTAAAATACACAATATTGTTATTTTCTTTATAGAAGCTGTTTGGAAAAGTGTCCTTGCTTGATTGGATTAAACCTGCAATATTATATATCCCTGGTTCTCAATTTGTTGAGAGAGCCTTATAAATTTTAGAGATTTTGATACTAGCTGCGACTCCTAGAGTACCTTTTAGCTTAACTCATTAGATTAAAGTTGCAACATTCCGTAGTATGCTAGCCAAGATTAATCCTAAATATTAGCCTCCTATTATAAACGTGTTTATCGTACTATGTCATTTTTGAAAATATTATTATGACGTATTTTAAAATACACAATATTGTTATTTTCTATTTAATTTAGAAGGAAGCGGAGTAAACTTTCAAGGTAAGTTTTTTATTTTCACATACAAAGTATATATATATATTAATTTTACAGTTTATCTCACGGGCCATGAGATAATGTCCAAATTGCAAGCAGCTCGATTTGCTTAAGGACCTGGGTTTTGAAAAAAGGGTTACAGTCGGCGTTGTACGGTACTTTTTGATTGTGATGCTGCGATTCCTAGAGTACCTTTAGCTTACTTCAGACCCACTTTTTGAGAACTTATATAAGCTGTTTGAAAAAGTGTCTTTGCTTGATTGGATTAAAACTGCGACATTCCATGGTATAGTAACCGAGAGTAAATACAAGCACTAACCACTTATCCAAATTTTGCAACCTAAATTATTCATAAATATTAGCTTTCTATGATAAACGGTTTTTTTTTAATCTATTTCACACACAAAGTGTTATATATATATATACATATATATATATATATAATTATATATACATATAGTTGAACAGCATAAGTAAGCAAATGAAACACTTATATAATGATATATGTATTTTTTATATATGTTTAGTTATACGTTAACTTTGTATTTCATTTGTTTGCCTATGCTGTTCAACTTTAATATATATATATATATAAAACTATATATATACATATATATATATAAATATATATATATATATATATATAATGAATAAATGTAGTTGGCAATACTAGCAACGTACAGTGCTCGATACACGTGATAATGCAAAGCGTAAATATTGAAAATGTAGAACTTGTAGAACTTGATATAATTACTCTACAGACTGTTTCACGCTAATGCAATCTTCAGGAGTGAGAGAATACATATATATATATACTTGAACAGCATAAATGGACAAATTAAATAACAAAAAGTTGATTTATATATGTATATATATATGTATATATATATATATATATATATATATAGTTGAATAAA